GACTCTATTTACAATTTTAGGTCACGTGGTACAAAAACGCCAGACAGTTATCACGCAATTACCCCCGTTTACGTCGATGCTAGTCGTCCGATTATATCCGTGGAAACGAAAGGAAGTCAGCAGAAAAAAAATTGACTGAAGAGTTCAACTATCTCATCTTTATTGCTTTTATGAAAGAAATACGAACTCGTTTGTACAGTCCAGTGGTAGTGACCTTAAAAAGCTGATCTCAACTGCTGTTCCGGAAAGTACAAAAAAACTCTTCAAAAAAACTCGCTGTCAATTCACAAAACGAAAATTAATGAGAGAGTCAGAATAAATAAACCACTGTATGGTATGTCGGCTGTTATTGCCTGGATGAGAGATTGTCCTCAAAATTTTACGTTATTTTGCCCCCGAAACTTCGCTTCTTGGCCAATTATTCGTTTCTTGGGCCGCGGACATTATAGTCCGGGATACGAACCGCCTAAAGAGGATTATTTGCTAAGTAGCCACATCCATTACAGTGAATAGTTTTTGACTACTTGATAGAAAAAAAAAACTTGGTAGAATTAAAGTTAAAATATAGTATTGTAAGAAATATACAACTTTTTTGAAAGACATGTTTCGGCATGCATATGCCATCTTCAGTCAATGAGTAACTGATTGTGAACAATTACATAGTATACAAGTAGATGAATAAATTATTTACAATATGATGTAATAAAAGAGCGGGTACTAATTACAACGTGACACCAAAACATCAAAGGTGTAAACTAGAACGCTTGAAAAGTGTTATAATGCTGTAATTGTTTGTTAAGTCCAGGTTTGATCTTATTTATATTAAAAGCTTCTTTGAGTTTGAAATCAATTGAGTTGTTAGCAGAATCCAGAATACTAAAACAAGAAGGGGCGTATTTGTTCTTACAAGAAGGAGATCTGTTGAAATGCTTAAAATATGCGAGTTTTTATCGCTTTCCGTGTGCTCCTTTATCTTAGTAGAAAAGTGGCGAGTAGGTTCGCCAATGTAACGGGAATTACATCCCGCACAAGAAAATTGGTAAACTACTATGGATTTTAGAGCATCAGGAGTACGATCTTTAACACTAAACATGTTTTTAACTCAAAAAAAAGTGAAAAATAGTTTGATATTTAGGTCCGATTTGCAAAAGCGCTTGGTGAGTTGTCGGAGTTTTAAGGTTCGCTATTTTAGATAGCCGACAAAAGGGAGTTTAAAGTAACGTGTATTATTGTCATCATTGATGTTCCGGCTTTTTTGAGAGGAAGACCCGTCAAGATACCGCTTGAAAGTTCTGTCAATAATATGCGAAGGAAAAGAATTACGTTTTAGACTCTCGGAAAGTTTATTAAGATCGTTTTGAAGGCCGGAAGAGGTGTTGTTGACTTTGTAGATTCGGTCAATAAGAGTTCGGATAAGGCCAATTTTATAGCATGATAGAATAAAACTAAAGAAATTTGTTAGGAGACCAGTGCACGGTTTTTTTTATGAAAAACTGAAAAAAGACAATCAATCGAAGAGTTGTCAATAAATATATCGAGAAAGGAGAGTTTACCATCATTCTCTTTCTCGAAAGTGAATTTTATGTTAGCGTGGCGCGAATTAATGTAATAAAAAATGACATAGCATCCTGTTCAATGTGAAAGACACAAAAGGTCAACATAACGCCTATAAAGTAGGTGAGTCGAATGGTTAAAATTATATAGCCACGTTTCCTCGTGGAAACCAAGAAAAAGATTGGCTAGGATGGGTGCTAACGGAGACCCCATCGCTACCCCATTAGTACCCGCTTTTGTATAACATCTTATTGTAAATAATTTATTCATCTACTTGTATAGTATATCATTGTTTACACTCAGTTACTCATTGACTGGAGATGGCATATGCATGCCGAAACATGTCTTTCAAAAAAGTTGTATATTTCTTACAATATCTATCATACTTACTATTATTGCGACCTTATTAAAATATAGTAATAATTGTGTTCTTTTGCATTGTTTTCTTACAGCTTATAACACAATCCGCCTTATTGGAGGCAGCACGGCACTAACTGGGAGGGTGGAAGTCTACCATAGCGGACAATGGGGAACAATTTGTGACGATAACTGGGACATAAATGAAGCTCACGTGATCTGCAGACAGCTTGGCTTCCCTTCAGCCACTCAAGCCTTTGACAGTGCCATGCATGGTGAAGGATCTGGTCAGATATGGATTGATGGTTTAGACTGCACAGGTTATGAGTTACAAATCAGCGAGTGCAATAACTATGGATGGGGAAATCACGATTGTGATCATTCCGAAGACGCAAGTCTAGAATGTTCCTCAACAATTTACTGATCAATTTTACTATATTCTGAGAATGAGGGAGGTGGAGTCACCCATGGGATTGTGTGCAGTTATGCCGCGCCCTTAGTTCAACTCATTTAAAATACTACTTTTGGTAGAAACGCTCCATCCAGTTTTCAAGGACATTACCCTATTCACATATGATTACCATAGTAGACTGCACGCCTAGCTAGGAACAATAATTACGATAATAGTAGTAGTGATAATAACAGGAAATGAAGTAATACATCATCAAATATACATTTTTCTTAAGAACTGAGCAACTTTCATTTGCTTGTTTTTTGTTTTTCCTGTTTCCATACACATGCGGTAAACATGTCCTTGGTGAAGGTTCAGGGATCCCTTTTAATTAAATTCCAGGCGGGATATTCATTTAAGAGAGCAAAATCTAGTTATTTCTTGGACGTCTTAAAATTATTATCATTACTATCGTGTCTTCTGAAATTTATTATCGTTAGTTATGGTTCGAATCTTCTTTGGAGAAATCGCCGAGAAATCCTAAGTAATCCTTGGTCAATGCAGTGGGAAATTGCATTCAAATTATGTTAACTCTTTGGCTTTTCCATCAAATGTTAAATTTCAGATATATAATCGCCTTTACGGGGTTTAACTCATTTGCCTGCGCTATTTTTCAACTCCGACAGCTGCTCGTCTGCACATTTTTAAACATTAAAAGCCTTTATATTGAAAAAGAAGAAAATTTAAAGCCCTTAGAGAGTAAGCAAAACCGCTTTAAAGAAGGCGTAACAAATGCATATGGTTTGAATTGTGCCAGGGGGTAAAATTAATTATACAGAGAAAACTATATCTTTTATGATAGATGTCAATTCTTCGAATACCCAAAAATATACATGTTTTTTAATGAAAACAAAAATATGCCTTCAGTCAAGACAATGGCAACCTGTCGTGATATGAAGATCATTTTAGCACATGTTTAGTGAAAACAGAACCTTAGGGTGTTTGTCATTGGGATAGGTTAATTAACGTCCCGGTTGGATGTAAACCTCATTTAACAAACCTCATCAGTTGATGTGTCTCCCTCAACAAATTTACAACGTTG